CACCAATTTGACCATAACTTCCAACTCCCAAGTCCTTTTTTGTGTTCTTTACCTCGTTTGGAAGCTCTTGACATCCCCCATCCACTCATCTCATTACCACCACCATTAGCCTCCATCCAAAAAATCATCACAAAAACACCCACCTTCCGCATTTGACCGATTTTGAGTTGCAATTTCCGTTTCCTAAGGTGTTTCGGCTACTTAGGAGTGTGTGACATTGTCATCACCATCATCACCTCGGAGTCATATTCACCGCTAACCGTAAGAAAGGACGGTAACCTCGACGACACTTACTTCTTACCTTGCTTTTGCATTGATAGCCCGAGCCATTTTGTGTTGCTTACCCATCAAGACTAGCAAGTTGAGAATTGCCGGGTCACGCTATTGTGCACCGTAGTGATCGTGTTATCATCTTTGTGCCATAAGTCTCTGCCGTGCATATCTTACATACTTGTCTCATATCATACTCGGCTCGAGCATCAAGCATAGAAAAAAAAGTAAGAAAAGCTTTTAAGCAAAAGAGGAGAAACAAAGAGCTTGTAAGCAATAGCATTGAGCCATTTGCATAGTTATATCATCTTGGTCATCGCATACATAGCATAGTTGGGATTGAAGATGGCATGTTTGTCTCATAGGTTGGTGCACAAGCGTATCTTGCCCATTTGAGCAATCGAGCTAGCGTCTCTCTAGCATTCGCACAACAAGAGCATTTTCCATGGTTGCACATTTTGAGCTCAATCCTTGGTTGTGCGGATCCCATCTGTCTTTCGTGTGTGTGTTCCTAGTGATATCTTTGGGTTTGATCTATTTGCTTTACTTGCATTTTTGTGAACATTCTCAACCTTATTGATATCTTGACTAACATTTGCTTGAAATTTTTGCCACCATCCTAACCGAGCTCCTCCATAAGCCTCTCATTTGTAGGTGTGAGAAACAAACCCGGTTCCAATTCTCCTATTGTGGCATTACCTTGAGTGACACTTGTTACATCCTCAATCCTCGGAAAAGGTAACTTTGGTATTGTTCTCTCATTTTCCTACTCACCCCACTTGGTTATGATGGATAGGCCAAACTCATCGGCGAACCCACTTTTCGAGGAGCAAGGTGATGATTTCGGCTTCGTCTCCAAGAACCACTTCTTCATCGCGCAACGAGCGCTTCATCAAGAAAGTGAAGCATTGGGTGAACGCTTGGAGCAACTCGCCTCCGACCTTCGTCAATCGGAAACAAGGAACCGCGACTACATCGACGCCAAGTTCACCACACAAATGGAAGAGCTCCGCAACATGATCGTGCGACGCCCGTCTTCCTCAACCGCTTCTTCAAGAC